CCGGGCTGGGGATTCGAACCCGCCACCTTAGGTGTACGTGGCTGGCGCCTTAGCCGGTTGAGCTATAGGCGCCGAGCCTAACAATCTTAAATATAGGGTCAATTCTTAGAGTTTGTGGTAGTTACTTTCTGTAAGTTACCTTGAACACTGAGTTAGTGACAAACCCAGGATTGCTGCTAAGGGAAGTGCAGGATTAGGCTCCTTTAAGACTCTGGTCACATTTCATCAATCAATCAATATGTAAGCTTATTTTATATGTATTTCTGTTTGAAGACAGCTTATTTGATATACAGAGGGTACAAAAAATGTACACACATTTTTTAGTAAAGGAAGAAACCATATTAAAATTGTAGTACTCAACATATCCTGATAACAAAAGATGAGCACAAGTCACGCTGATCACCTTCTGTAACTGCGGAAGTCAAAATGGGACTTGAATGTTATAAGCTTAACATAGTTTTTTTCTTTTTTAAAGCATGTAAACATTTTTTGCATCCTCTATTTATTTCTTACAAATAATTATATGCAGTATTTCTTTATAATAAAACACTTCAGTAGAACCTCCATAGTTGACCAGCTCCCTACACTGACCACCTCCTTTAATTGACCTATTTTCACAGACTGGACATGCATCACATATGCGTATCAGTACGGTAGGCCTAGTGCCTTATGTTGACCACCTCTGTGTGTTTGTTACAGTCCCTTGGGGGAGTCACCTTACAGAGGTGCTACTGTATTTCACTTTCAGCATTATGTGATATGCTCTATCATGATAGTGTTAGTTCAAAGCTCAGTCATGCATACATGGTATGCATAGTACTCACATAAACAGATAGTAAGCATGTGTAATACTGTGAACATACTTTATAGTACAGCAGTGCAAATACAGAAAGTCCTGAAAAAAGCATTAAGCAAAGATTAAGCATTTATTGTCTTATAAAAACTAACTGAAATCTTACTGTGGATGGAGCTATAGGATGTGGTCAGTGCACTGTGGCTTAACCTCCTGACACTGGATTGCTCCACAAAAACCAAAGAACTCACTCCACAGAAGAGGAAGACATTGATGAGGTCAGCTTGTTGTGTTATGGCAGGTGTACCTCAGGAGTTTGTCTTTTGCAGCTTGATGGCAACTTTCTCACAATGACTTGAAAAGATGCTTTAGCCTCATCTGCCTGGCTTTTCACCTCAAATCTTTCAGCGTCTCAGAAAAAGGGACAAATGCAGTGGCAGTGAGGTACCACTGAGGAATGCTGCACAGTGAGGAATGTGAGGCTGCGTCCCAGCATGGGGTCACATTCTTCCATGTCATCGAAGATTTTTTTCCAACGCAGAATTCCATTCTGATATTTTGGCTGCCGTGAGAGGGACAAGTCTTAGGGTGACTTTCATCACTGACTCTCATGCCGTCTTTCGCCATTTTGTCCATGCCTTTGTTGGTGGGTTCTAGTGCCTTCTCTGCCAAAATTTCCTCTACATCTTCTTCCATCATGTTACTGAAACCTTCTCTACCTATTTGCTGTGCAATATGTATTATGTTGTTGACATTGTTCTTTATACTTTCAGTAACACCCTCAAAATTTTTCACACAGTGCAGCCAAACATTCTCCCAACAGTTACTGATAGTAATCTGCTTGATGCTGTCCCAGGCTGTGCCACTATACTCAGTAACACTGTGTACAGTGACTGATTTCCAGGTGTCTAGGATGGTGGCTTCCTCGTTGGCCTCAAGAGCCTGGTAAGTCTTACTGTGGAGCTCCCTTATGTAGTGTGCCTTCTAAGTTTTTATTATGCCCTGATTGAGGGGTTGGATGAGAGATGTAGTATTTAGGGACATAAAAAGAACTTCTGTGTTGGGGTGGGCATTTTGAAGATCTTTGTGGCAATGAACTGGGAGATTATTCAAAAATTAGTAAAACCTTGAAGGCGGCTCGGCGCCTATGGCTCAACCGGCTAAGGCGCCAGCCACGTACACCTAAGGTGGCAGGTTTGAATCCCCAGCCCGGACCCGCCAAACGACGGCTGCAACCAAAAAAAATAGCCGGGCGTTGTGGCGGGCGCCTGTGGTCCCAGCTACTTGGGAGGCGGAGGCAGGAGACTCGCTTGAGCCCAGGAGTTGGAGGTTGCTGTGAGCTGTAATGCCACGGCACTCTACCCAGGGGGACAGCTTGAGGCTCTGTATCAAAAAAAAAAAAAAAAAACCTTGAAGGCAAGGTTTTTGCCCTGGAGATAGCATTCAACTTCTGGGTTGAAGCAGTGGTGGAACCAACCCCAGGATATTTCAGATACTATCTATGCATTTTGTTCCATCTCCAATGTTCTGGCATACAGTTCAGGTTTTTCCCTTTCAGTGCCTGTGGGACTTAGATTCTGTACATCATTGGGGGTTTGCACTTAAAGTCGCTCTTAGCATTGGTGCACAATAGCAAGCTGCATGGTCTTTGACTGCTTTAAAGCCAGTGGCTTTGGAGGCCATTTGCATTACAAAGGTTTGTTTGCCAATATTCTTATAAAACAAACCAATCTCATCAGCATTGAAAACCTGCTCCTCAACATAACCCTTTTCATGTATGACACTTAGCAGGTATTTTTAAAATTCTTCTGTAGTCTCACGATTTGGGGAACCTGCCTGGCCTGCAAGTTTAAAATTTTTCATACTGTATCACCTTTTGAAACCTGCAAGCCAGCCTGCACTAGCAGAGAAGGGTTTTACATTTTCCTGACCCTGGGTAACACGGCTGTAGATTTCTTTGGCTTTTAGCCTCACAACAGTGCTGTCCTCTACACCTTTTTTATTGCTTGTATTCTCACAAATCCACAAATTTAAATGCTTTTCCATCTTTTCCATACCTTCATCATGAACTACAGATGTTACTTTAGCACTTTCTGGAGCAGCCTCACATACAGATCTGCTATCTCTTCTTCCTTTTTCTGGATATACTGTATTGTTGATTCATTAATGTTGAACTCATGGCCAACAGCACTAAAACTCATGCCTGAATGAAGCTTATCTAACACATGTATTTTCTCTGTAAGATGCATCACAAGCTTCTTGTGCTTCAGGACATTAGACAGCATTTCAGCTCTAGGTTGGGGGTGGGTGGGCATTTAAAACAACAGAATCACCACCCCAAAGCACAAACACTTGGAAAACAAGTCACTAAATAGACCAAGAAAAGGACATTTGTTTACAGTATGAGTTTTTATAGCTTTGTTCAGGTTCTGCTGGGGATATGTACAGGAGATTCAAGTTTTTCAAAGCTGTGCATGTGTCCATAAGTGAGACAGTGCTGTAAGTGCTGATTTTGGGGTTACATATAAATTTTAGCAAGTAGGTGAGTTTACAAATACAGAATCTATAAAGGATGACTATATTTATAGGGGTCTCTCACCAAAAAAGATAATGTGATCAGTATGATTCTCAAGCATAAAAACATAGGACACAATTCTTTGGGGGAAGTGGAATGGAAAGGAGTTAAAAGAGAAAAGAATTAATATGACTTTTTTGTGAAGTTTTTAGATTGAGAATGGCTATATTATTTCTGTTAATATTTAGAGTATAAAAATAACATTAACAGTTTAATTTTAAAATGTCATCCAAGTATCATAAGTAATGTCCTTTGCTAACCATTTAAAGTCATGTAAAAGATTTAGATGTTAACTATGTATATGGTATATAATTTTCAAAAATTCTTCTAGAGAGAAGAGGAGCAAAATCAACCCGGGCAGCTTTAGTTTTGTTGTTCCACTGAAAAAACAAATCTGTCCCATTTGGAAGGAAACATGTTGGTGATTTTTGTAAATTTTTCATTTCATAATTATCATCATCTCTGAACACCCTGGTTTTGGCTTGTAATTTTGAAAGACTTGTACACTGTACAATGAAATTACAGTATTCCTGAGAGTGGCTTGATGGAATGTCGGGATTTTCCCCTACGGTAGGACAAAAATGGCTTTCATGTCCTCAAATGCTAGAATTCTGGATGATGTTTTAGTATACATGCCAACACTTACTGTCTTCATATACAGTTCAAAACGGAAATTTTCTTAACCAGTTAAAATGATCCTTAAATCCCCAAACCATAGAGCTTTTCTGGTGTCACAGTCTTCTTAGATTTTTCTAGTTACTGGTACTGTTCCTGGTCTTCTTAAAGTTTCTTGTAACAGGTGAGGTTAAACACCTTACACGTGTAGCCGGCGGCCCCCACAATTTCACATAGGACCGGAGCACTAGCCAGGCTGCACGTACCTCCCCTCCACTCTTCCACATGTCACTTCTCAACTGACTTGTTTGCTGTCAAGTAACCGTCTATTAATCATTCAGGAATCATATGAAACACTGCACTTTAATCCCAACACGCGAATTTTATGTTGCTTCAAGTCTTCGAATTAGAGTAATAAATTTAGGTTAGAATAACGGAATAAACATCAAGTCCCTTTCGGGGATGGCCAAGCCGCCAACGAGGAGTTCTCCGAGGTCCCTCTGGACCAGTCGGCGTCCACTTGGGCGAGAGAACGAGGCGCCCGCGCGCGGTTACAGACCGGGTGGGCTGCGTCGTGGGAGCGAGGCTGAAGCCCGAGAATGGGAGGACACCGCGCCCGGCCCGCCGAAGGGCTGCGTCCGCCATCGGGGCCCGGCGCCGCCGGAAGGGGCCGCCCGAGTTGGCGGGGCGCGGTCTGACTGCGTCACTACCGGTGCCGCGCTCACTTCCGGGTGCGGGAAGGGGCAGAGATTGGTGCAGCCGGGGAGGAAGGAAAGAGGGTGAGGAGAAACGGCGTCCGAGCGGGCCGGCGCCGGGGCCGGCGGGGGTGCTCCGGGCCGCCGGGGGCTGCTTGCCGGGTCGCCCGCCCGCCCTGTACGGGCCGCCCGCCGGGGCCCGCGCCCAGCCTGGCCCGCGGCCTCCCCGCCGCCGGCCGCGGCGCTCAGCGCCTGTGCTCTGTGTTGCAGGTCTACGCGGAGCCGCGGAGCGAGAGCGAGTGCCTGAGCAACATCCGCGAGTTCCTGCGCGGCTGCGGGGCGTCTCTGCGGCTGGAGGTGAGCGCGGCGGCGGGGCCCGGGGAGGGTCCGGGGAGGCGGGGCCGGGCTTTGCGGGTGCGGATAACGGCCCGCAGGAGGCGGCGCGCGGGCGGGCTCCGGGCAGGGAGGAACCAGTGACTGGAGCCGCAAAACATGCGGGTGGCAAAGATTTTCAGCATCCATTTGTCAGATGTGAACCGATTTCTTGGCACCTGCTTCCGCCCGAATTCTGCTTTCACAGATTCTCGTAGAACTCGAGGCCAGGTTTGGGTCAGTCTTCAGAATGCTCAGCAGGTGATCAGGCGAAGCCAGGAAGAAATAAAATGGGCCAAAAACCCCTCCTAGCCTCCTCCTTTTCTCTGCTTTTCCTTCCTCACACCAGAAATTCGGTGGTTTTATTGGATCTGTAGCACCGTTTAGGTTAGAGGATTCATAGTAACCTACATTTGAGTTTCGTAGAACGTCCTTCAGGCCGGGTGTCCTCCCTGTTGCATGATGTTTTTATCGTTTTACTAAACGTCTTTTCAGTCTTTCAGTGGTGACCCTTGAGGGCTGTTTCTCTTTCATTTATTTTTTTGCAAATGGGATTTTTCTTGGGGTAGTGGTTTAGATTCAAACGCTAGCTTTGCTTTTCTTGGGAACTGGAGGCTGAAGTGGTTGCAGTTCTGTATTTAAGTCTGGCCTTTTTTTGTTGCCATTTTCCCACTCTTCGCTTTAGTTTCCTTACCTGTCTCTGCAAACTGAGACACGTTATGCCAAACTCCTTGCTAACAGTTGGTTGTGTCTGTGATATTAGAGGTGATTATTCATTTGTAGATTCACCCAATCTCAGGTGGAAAATATTGAGGAGGGAGAAATCAATAAAAACCAATAATACAACCATAGAAAATAATACAAATAAAAGTACAATACACCAGCATCTCCAGTAGAACTTGTTCTATTGGGATGACCCAACAGAGGTTTCCCTTTCTGAAGAATAGTCTCTTGCTATAGGCTTTTGGGGGAAAAGCTAGAAGTCACCAACTCTGTAGCAAAAGATTATATGGAAAGCTATTTAATTAAAATTAGACTGTAGGAATGGACAAAGTACCACTTTTTGTTGATTGTAGACAGGATATTTATTGTTGGTAGTATTTCACGTCTATAAGGAAGTGCATTACAGGTAAATGAAAGTGCATTGCGGGAGAGTCCAAGAAATTTAGAGTTCTTTAAAAAGAAGAAAAGACATTGTTTCTTGAAGTTATTTCTTTTTGCTGCATCAGATTTGTCATTTTATAGTCCACTTTCCTAATTGGACTGTGATAATGTGCTTTGCTAGTAGTAGTTCTTACTTCGTCTTGACTTATGTAGTGGGATTTTATTATCCTTTTTAACCACTGAGTTTTGTTTATGTCACCATATTTTTGAAACTTGGTTTGCACATTAAGATAATGTGACAGTACTTTAATAAAAGTACTGCTTTAAAGAAAGTATGTTAAACTTTTTTTAGTTTTCCAGTTTGTTTTATACAGCAGCTGTCATTTTTAAATTGAGTTTAAGTTGCTCTAGAAAAGAGTTCGTGGGCTCGGCACCTGTGGCTCAAGTGGCTAAGGCGCCAGCCACATACACCTAAGGTGGCGGGTTCGAATCCCCAGCCCGGGCCTGCCAAACAACAATGATGGCTGCAACCAAAAAATGGCCAGGCGTTGTGGCAGGCGCCTGTGGTCCCAGCTACTTGGGAGGCTGAGGCAGGAGACTCGCTTGAGCCCAGGAGTTGGAGGTTGCTGTGAGCATGATGCCATGGCACTCTGCCCAGGGGGACAGCTTGAGGCTCTGTCAAAAAAAAAAAAAGAAAAGAGTTCATGAACATATCCTAAGCCTCTAGAATAGTTTTTGTCACATAGTAGGCCTTCAATAAATGTTTGCTACTGATTAAATGAAGCTGAAGTTCTAGTTGATGTTAAGTTCCATTTGACAGAATGAAATCAGTTTTGTCTTATGTTGTGCTATTTTTAAAGAGTAAGTAACTCTTCCAGTACATTTAAAATAGAGGCAAATGTTAGCATTCTTTCCAGCTCAGTATTATATATTAGCCACACTTAAAAACTAATTACTTGGGAGTTAAGGAAAATTTAAAAAGTAAGAAAATAGGACATGTAGAATCTCATAAATTGTTCATTCACTGTGATTTTTGGGAAGTTACTCTGGAAACCTGTATCCATCTCTGGCTTCCAGCCTTGTAGTCCATGGACCAAAAGGATAGGGCTGTGTCCTGAAGAGCTTAGCTGGTTGGACCACAGTGCAACAGTTTCCCAGCATTTTATTATTATTATTATTATTCTTTATTAAATCATAGCTGTACATAATGCAATCATGGGGTACAGTATGCTGGTTTTGTATACAATTTGAAATATTTTCATCAAACTGGTTAACATAGCATTTTCTTAGTTATTGTGTTAAGACATTTATATTCTACATTTAGTAAATTTCACATGTACTCTTGTAAGATGCACTGTAGGTGTGGTCTCACCAATTACCCTCCCTCCACCCATCCTTCCTCCTCCTCTCCCCTTTTCCCAGCATTTTTAAAGAGAAGTGCTCAGTGGGTAGGAAGGACTCTGCACCTTTGAAATATGTTTTGGCATTTACATGTTTTGTTTTCACAAAATTCTGAAAGGTAGTTGACAAGAAACATTTTGAAATTAAAAACATGAAATTTAAAACGGTTAGCTTAAATTCTAGATTTAGCTTTTTCATGGTATAGTTAATGAATGTTCAGGTGCTTTTCTTCTGGGGTTAGCTTTGATTAAATTGTGTTTGTAGCAGACTGTTTTCGGTATACATATTTTCTTGTTTACTGTCAGTTTAAATTTTCCTCAGATTACTTAAAGAAAGGGCAGGAGTTTGTTCTTCATGGTTAATATATCAAGTTATTTAATGCATACACAATTAGCTGTAGAAAATCAGATAGTATCCCCCAAAGTGTTGTTTTAATTATGAAAGGAGTTTTATAAATTGATTTTAAAGAAATATTGGGCAGTAGGCATTTATTGTTAAACTTTGAGAAGCATTATAGGTTGCAAGGTGTAAAATATTTTTATATTTGGAAAATTAAATTTTAAATTTGGACAGTTTTGTGTTGGGAAGCAGTGCACACAACTTAGATGACCTCTTCATGTTCTTATAACTTTTTCTTTGCTATTTAGCATGTGTTTTTTTTGAATTTTTTCTATTAGGACAAAATAAACAGGGCACAACAATGACAACTTGCCTCTATTTTCATCTCAAAAACCACCCCCAAATAATAATCATAATAAGAATAAGAATGATGATGATGGTGATGTGTTTAGGGTTTTGTTTAAGGAACACTGACTCAGGCAGGCCTGCCAGAGGAGAGGACTTCTTTGCACTTCATCAGGGAGGTCAAGATGATTTCTCTTGCCAAGTTTTTGCTCTGTTATTTCTGAATTTTGGTTTACGTGTTGTAGCTAGTGTGTGCCCACATGCTTGTGTTTGTTTCTTCAAAATCACAATAAATTAGCTTCCAAAATTTTCCTACCCAATACAGCATTGACTTATTAAGCATCTGACAGCTAGCAGAAGCAGAGTTTGTGTTCCTAGGAAAACATTGTCGTAGCTCTGACATGTTTACCAGCTGTTTATTTGAAGATCTAAAGTTCAGGATATAGTTTTTTAAGTGATGTATTATTAAATTAAACTCAGATTAATAACATGTTTCTGGGATGTTAACAACGAAATTATTATTTATTACAACATAGCTATGAATTTTGACTTAGTTCTCTTTAAAGGAAAGGTGTCTCCTGTTCTCAATAATTAGTTATATTCACAAATATTCAGAAATATTTCTATGTATATATAAAATGTATTGTTTTATATATATGTAAAATATATGTCTTCAAAAACTTGACAGAAAGGATTAACTTAAGCATTATTATAAGCTGAGGTATTTATGTTTTGAACTTTCCAGCTCCTCTAAAGTCTAAACTGTAATTATGAAGTGGGAGCCGTCCTTGTCTTATGCCATTCTTCCTCCTGTAGATGTTTTTATAGTCTGGCCCCAATCCTTTCCCTAGGTGGAATCAGCCATTCTTGAAGGAAAGGGAAGATTCTTACGGAGAACCAGAAAGGTAATCTTTTCAGATAGTGTAATATTAATGAGGCTTGTTAAGAACTGACTGTGGACTCCCATACTGTGTTGGCATCATTGCTGTCAAAAACAAAATAAAAAAACAGAACAGATGAAACTGGATGAACCTGTTCTTATAGTTGCCAAAAAGGAATAAAACCAATCTGTCAGGTGAAAGCAAGCCACAACTTCTTTTTTCATAGGCTGTTTCTGGAATGCTCATGTTTGACCTGATAGGAAAGGTACTAATTCAGTTGCTCTTCCTAGCTTATTGTCACATCAGCTAATACTATAATTATCTGCTGATTTCAGAATTGCTGTTCATTTATTTAACTGTTCTTCTGGAAAAGTGGAAATTGTCCAAAGCCCAGGTGGTTCAGAGAAAAAATCTGCTTTTTCCATCCATGTCCTTGGAAATTTTTCTTAGCTTTTTAAAAGTCAGTAAAATGTGAAATGTAGCCCAGCTGTTCACATAAAGGTTGCTTCACAATCCAGTTTCTTTCTCTTTTTATTAATGCATACCTTTTTCTTAACTGACACATACTTACATATATTTTGCGGTACAGTGTAATGTTATGGTATATGAATGCATTGTGGAAAGATTAAATCTAGCTAATTAACATGTCCATCAACTCACGTATTTCTTTGTGGTGAGAAAAATTAACATTTGTGTCAGTGATTTTGAAATTTGTTACCTTATTAGCTATAGGCACCTTTGAGCAGCATCTCGCCTTCCCCTATGCAGCTGCTGGTGACCACCATCCCACTCTCTTCTGGAGGTTCAGCTTTAGACCCCGCGTGTGAGTGGGACCCTGTGGAGTTGGTCTTTCCGTGCCTGGCTTACTGCAATCCATGTTGTTGCAAATGGCAGGATTTCCTTTTTTAAGCTGAG